CTTGGTCAACTCTTCCAGCTTGAGGCAAAGAAATTTCACAGTAAGAGTAGAAATTTCACAAAGAAGAGTAGAGTTCAGTTTTAGGTGATTTAATTGAGCCTAGAATGAGGCTTTCTTTCGCAAACACATTTTATTATCTTAATATCCATATTTATCTCCTAGCCAGTAGAGACTGAGCAGGATAATTGGAGAAATATATTCTGTTTTCTGAAAGTGCCTTCCAGGACCAACACTGTGCAGATGGCTGACTTTTAGTATTGTGGATAATGATAATAAATTCTGTTATGAAATTACCACAGTCACAGTGTAGCTACATTTTCAACAATGTGCTATTAAACATACCATCAGAGCAAACTGCTTGCCTATCTATGTTTAATGAATATCACTTGTGTCTGTCAGCCCTATTACACATGTTCAGGCTCCTCCTTCCAGTTCATCCATATTTCTTGAAGTTAGAGCAATCCTTGTTTCAATTCAACACAAAGTTTTTAATAACTGTAAAAGATGGTACAAGATGCTGTCCAAGTTCTGAACTCAAAAACTTCTGCATTTTGCCTTAAAGTGTTTTTCTTTAAGATACACAAATTACTGATCAGATGCAGTCATTTAAAGAGCTTAAAACTAATGTCTTTGATTGCAATTTATAGGTGGTATTTTCATTTAGGTATTAATTCCTTAAAAACAATCTGTTCTTTAAATAATGAGACATTTAAAATTGTTATTTGGGGCCCAGCGGTGGTGGCACACGCCTTTAATCCCAGCACCCGGGAGGCAGAGGCAGGTGGATCTCTGTGAGTTCGAGGCCGGGCTAGACTGACAGCCTCCAAAACAAAACAGAGAAACCCTGTCTCTTAAAACCAAAAAAACTGTTATTTGGTTTTATTTCATTTCAATGCAATTGAAAATCTGAATAACGTCCGGTATATTGCAGTGAGCAATGTGAGCATACTTCTGCAAATCCTTTACAGAAACAGAAAAGTAGTTTTGGGCAGGGTAAGAGGGTTCCATCAAGGAAATTAGTACTTTTCAAGTTTCTTAGAAAACAGTAAAGACAAAGTTACTCCAGAATATATATGCCTTGTCTTTGTTGTCAACCACTGACCTCAATAATAAAGTGATTGTACGCAATATAAAATATGGGCATTTTCAGGAACTCTTTGTGTACATCCATTGCTAAATCAATTATATTGTACTTTACATCCATCATGGAGAGAGCCAAATAAATGACTAGACTGTATTACAGCCTGCTAATTTTGTATATAAAAGTTCAATTGCAGAATTAGAAGTTCTCTGTCATATATTTCACATTTCATGCTCTAAGTCCTCTTATGCTGCATTGTCTGTTATTCCTTAGTTATGTACCTAACTTAGGATTACTCATACTGTGCATACCAATGAAAGTTTGACTGAACGACTTCTTCATTAATTTGTGTTATTAATTATTGCTTTCTGACATGGCTTTAAAACACTAATTACCTTCATTGAAACAGAGGAAATCATTCTTTTTATCTCTGATTTTAAAAACTGTGTTTTTTTTCTGTAAATGAATGGCTTAGACTCTGTGATTTCTACTTAGTTATACATTCCTTTGTGAATAAATAAATTAAAAATTATGTGTGATTCAAGTACTCAAACATTTAAACTCAGAAATTATGCTTTGAATGAAGAGATGATGCACGTGTCATAAAAACCACTATCCCTGTGTCTGGGCATATGTTTCTAGGTGTATGTGGCATGGTCTACATGTACTACATTCCCTAAATACCTGAGCCACGATTTTATGGGGCACATACTATAGTGATTCTGTTTATTAATTTACAAGCTACAGTCTGCAAAAGACTATTTTCTCAAGGCCGCATGTCCTGGACCTAACTGAGACTTGAAGCCTCTGCTTTGTATCAGAGACAGAAAGCTCAGTGGGAAGAGTGGTAATGTGACTTTCCAGCAAGCATTGGTCATCTGCTTTGCTGTCTTCCCCTGCTGTAAAAGATGAGAATCAGATTAAATGAGGTCTAAGGGCCCATTCAAATCTAATATCTGAAGGTTGTTCTTCTTTTTAAAAGGGAACACAATAGAATTAAATCTTTTCTGTATCCCCTCTAACCTTCCAACCTATATACAGCATTCATAAATTTGAAACTAATGAAAAAGTTCTCAGGAGAGTGATCAAATTAGAAAGTAGTTCTTCTCACAATTCAAGTCAAAGTTAATAAGAATTAAATCAAGGGACTAAGAATTTGAAAAATATTATTTCCCTAAAGCTTAAAACATTCAAAATTGAATGGAAGAATACACATGTTTATGGAATCCAGATCCTTTAAAAGTTGACCCTATGACCAGCTGACTATTTCTTTTTCCGCTTTTTTGAAGATAAAATTAATATTCCATGTAATTTGTCAGCATCAGTTTGCCTCGGGGGCTGTGTTTAAAAAACAATCTACCAAAAGCAACTTGATACCTGATTATGTAAGCAGTATTTTTTTGTTTTGGTTAAGAATTGCCTTATTGAATGTGACTCACACACACACCAAAAATCAGGGTTTTGTGGTGTTCAATTTTTTAAATGAATATTTACAAGGCAGTTTTTATTTTATTTTACCATTTTTATCTTTACTAATTAAATAAAGACACTCTAAATCACAGCAATATGTTAGAGAAAGAAAGAGACGCCTGTGTGAAGCAATGATTTGCAAGTTTTCCTCCAGTTGTAAGACTAAGAACTGAGGAGCTGTCTTCAGTCCTCTGGCTGAAACATTCTTGCCTCCATTACCAAGCTTGTCACTTTGTCAGGAGTGCTGTTTGTTTTTTTGTTTGTTTTTTTTTTTTTTGGTTTGCTTTGTTTTTTTTTCTAAATCTCAGCAATGTTGTGTAAAAATTTCTCAAAAGTAATAAATTAGATTTTAATAGTAATTACAATTATTTCAGCATCATTTGTGACTTCCATTTTGACCAAAACCAGCTGTTAACATAAAAAATCTAATAAATTATTCATCTGAAGAATGTTCCATTGCCTTTCGTACTGTATGGACAAAAATCCCAAGTGCTAAGCAGTGGTGTTAGCTGTTGATCCCAGCCCGTTGGAGACCAAAGCAGGAGGACCGTGTCCTGGAGGACCATGATCTGGAAGACAGACCTGAGCTGGAAGATGACAGACATGAGCTGGAGGACCATGATCTAGAAGACTACACATTGAAGACTTTCAGATGCCGGAAGTCTTTGATAGAGTGAATCTGAAATTAAGCAGACTTTCTCATCAAAATGTGTTTCTCAGAAGTGGGGATTAATCCCTTAGTTTGTTTGTGCTACATGTGTAAGGAACTTTAAAATTTACCCTTTTCATTGTAATGATTTGTGTTTTTAAGTGATTCTTAGCCCCTACCCACCAAAAAAAAGTCAACGAAAGGGCAAAATTATGTGGTATCATATTTTATCAAATTTTTATACTTAAAATTTCTGGATATATCTTATTATGTTATATGATGTTTCAAATAAAGTATTGATATTTTATTTTCACTGTAATTAAAGGTTTTATTTTGTAAATTGGTATCTATTAAATAATTGATAAATGCTTTGTTCATTAATTAGTCCTTGTTTACCTGAAAGTTTAAACAAATTAAGAGGAGATACATTATTAATTCTTTATGCTCTTTTTCCCTTCTTTGGGATTTGTTGTATTTCCAGGGTTTGAATTTTTTCATGTTTCTATCTAACTTGATTATACAAGCCCTACAATTTGGAAACAAACATGACAGATACGAAAAAGTGTTCATAATAAGATGAAAATAAATAAAATATGTGCATTACAAATAAAATAAAAAAGATTTAAAGTTATATCTTTGCTCAGACACCTGAAAGCTAACAATAGAGTAGAAGCATTGTTCATTAAAGGTGTATATGTATGTATGTGTGTGTGTGTTATTCATGATTTGCAGTGTAGCATGAACACAATGATTGCTTGATCAAATGATGCTACACATTAAGATGCTGCTAATCATTTGGGAGCCACTTTTGTAACTTCTGCTGGCTAACAGTTCCCATATCATTGAGTGTTGGGCAGTGAGTGAGTGACCAATGAGAGAGTGTGTATCCACAGAAATAAGAGGTAGGCTTCACCAGAGTTTGGGTCTGACAAACTAGTGCTAGTAAATCACAGTGGATAGCCTGTGAGGAGGCTGGGAACCATTGCAACCCTTTCCCAGTGTATCACTCATTGGAAGATGTGAACATGAACATGCAGCTTAATTGCTAGCATGTTTGCACACATAAAATCACATAATTTGATGTTATATTTTTATTACCCAATACATTACTTTCAACACATGGCTTAAGAATCATCATCTGTGTCTTGATTGGTTACAACTGCATGCCATTTTTTCTTCTTCAGCAACTGCCTTCTTAGTTGATCCTCATCCATCTTCCTGTAAGCTGCTCTCAGTCAGCAAGCAGGAACGAAGCAGTAGGGAGCAAGCATTAAATGGATGAGGGGAGTCACTGAGTAGCCGGTCAGAGTAGACACTTTAGTAGTAAGGAGAGGGGAGAATATGTAAACTAAATGACAGCAATTGCAGACAATCCAGCTAAAATTCGAGATGACAGCTACTAATGCCTGCATTGTCTCCCCCACCGTCATAACTGATCATAACTCAGACAGCAGTTAAACAGCTGGGAAGCCCTGGCTCCCTCTCTTATTTCTCCCTGTTCTCCAACCGCTATAGTAGCAACAGCAGCCTCAGCAGCCAGGCTGGGCTGTAGCTTGCAGTCACGCAGACCGCTGCCTCACCACACACACACACACACACACACACACACACACACACACACACACACACACACACACACACACACACACACACACACTGCACACACTTCCCGAATCAACGCGTTCTCACGCAAATCCTGGACCAAGAGACAAGAGAGAAGAGCATTAGGCACGGACAACAGGTATTTCCTCTGACAAATTCAGTGTCATTCCTGATGCCTAGTGGTTTGCATAAGGAAGCAAGCCTTTGCAGTACCTAGCCTGTGCGAAAGAGGACTGACTGGAGGTGGCCTCGGCAGAGGAGGGTGAAGTGGGAGGAGTGAGATGTGGGGAAGAGGAGATGCCAAAATTGACTTTCAGGCTCCGGAAGCCTACAGATCTCAGCCTCCGCTGCTTTTGAGTTGCAAATGATCTGGGAGTGGTGGGTTGCACGCAGCCCGTGACATTGCCTGGAAGAAGACTTCCATCTTTCAGTCACTAGTTCCAACCGGCGGTGTGTTCTAGAAGGGGGTGGCAGCAGGGAGGAGGATGCTCTGAGTGGAGTTCTTGAAGCTCCGCTCTTGGGGAAAGCCGGGCTGTGTGGGAGCTTTCTGACTGAGCGGAGAGCGTGTGAATTGGAAAGGATCCTGAGAGCTGGCTGGTCCCAGTTCCTCTCCGGAAGAGCTGTCGCTCTCGCTTCAGAGATGCGCCTTGCCTTCGCCTGCATCACGCTGCAGTAAGTTCAACTCAGCATGGTTGGTTGGCAGTTAGAGTGGCCTCTGGGTATGTGGTTTTGCGGGGGGGGGGGGAAGCTGAGAAGAAATGGCGAGGAAAGTTAGGAAGGCAGAGCTTCGTATTCTCCATGTAAATCTGAAAGCATTTTGTCTCTCACTCCTGTGCTAATTATTAGTCGCCTTAACTGTTATCTGCGGCAAAGAACCTAGTGTTTGGTGAGTCTGGGCAAAGGGCTCTGTTCATTGTGCTTATAGGCAAGGAGACTGGCGTGATCCCCTGAAAGTTACTGATGCGAAGGCAGGTTGCCTATGGGGGCGGATGGAGAGGATTCATAGAAGCCGGCTTGGATTCCTAAATGCCCCAATTGTCCTAAATTTCATTCCAGAGTTATTTACTAACTTGTAAACAAACAAGCAGACAAAACAGACATGTTTTTATTTACTTTTACAATATTAAAATTAAACGTGAAGTTGACCTATAGCTAGATTCTTGGTGACAGACTAGGCGACACTGATGATATGATAAACATTCCAAGTCTTTCCAGTGGGTGGGGTGGAGTCTCCCAGGTTCTTACTGCTGCAATTATCTCTACTGTCTAACTAGTATGACTCGAAGTCTTCGTGATTTAAGTGGAATGATTTTCATGTAGATGCCATTGTAGTTAGCTACTTAGCAGGACTGTGCTCCCTGGCAGAAGAAAATGAAGGATTAAGAACTTTCAAAAACAACTCCAGCTTGTTTGTTCAAACTGCAGCTAACCAACTCTTAAAAATAGGTCAGCAAGGGCTAGCCCATTGTAAAGCAAATTACCAAGTAAACAAGATGTTGGCAGAACACTAAAGGTCTTTTCTAAAAGGGAAACTAGAAATAATTAATTTTAAACAGTTGGGATTATCAGGCCAGTTTCACTCTCATGGAAACCCACCCCATCAATATTAATATTTTAGATGGCAGAAACAAACAGAAAAGAGAAATAAAAGAATCTCTTATTTAGAAAGGACATGTCATATTTGGAAGATCACTGGAGAAATGACTGTTTCACTGTATTTTACTCCAAGAAAGAGTACAGTTACAGCAGAAGTTACCTAAAACAGGCTCCAGAACTCCTGGATCTTCAAATAGATACTTGCACATATACTATCATAGGTTTAAGAGGTCAAAGCTGTTTCAAACTTTGGAGGTAAATTCTGTGACCAGACATGGTTTTCACCTGTTATCTTATCCAGCTCTGAAACAGGAGGATTGTCAAAGATTTGAGGCCAGACAGAGTTCCACAACGAGTTCTAGATTATGATGTGAGACACTGTCTGCAAATGAGAAAGAAGACAGTGAGAATAGTAATTTCTGGGCATTGCAACTCAATTCTGAAACCCTCTATCACAAAACAGGAGGTAATTCATTTATCCTGCAATTTTGGTTTAAAGTTTTCCGAGTTCTTGTCTAATTATTTACTCCAAATAAGACAAGCCAAAAAGTAACCAGAGTTGTATTGTATAATCACCCACACACCTCCGAAATCTCTAGATATAAAGGCTCACTTAGTGTTGGGCATTTTTGTTGTTGGAATACCCAATTATTTTAGCTAACCATTCTGCCTATAAAATTTTTTTCATGCATAATCTCTAAACGTAACTCTATGAATCAGTGCGTAACAGGTGATCCAGGGAACGTGTTTGCCATGTGAGGGTGGGTAAACATTTTACACAGCAATGTGTATGTGTGTGTGTGTGAGAGAGAGAGAAATAGATAGATAGATAGATAGATAGAGAGAGAGAGAGAACCTCCATACACAAACTGTAAGAACATGCTGCTGTGAGTTTTCAAGCAGTTCCATAATATTCTAAAAATATTTAGTACGTGAAATCAGACATTGAGCTAATTATAGGAAAGCCAGGATAAGATCTCATAGCCATTTATCAAGAGTTCATCAAAGACAGAAGCATATTAGAGCTGAGTCGTAGCACTGTGCTTGTTTTATACTTCACAGTGTTGTCATACAACAAGAAGACTAGGTACTGTATCTGGGAAGGGGATTGTCAAAATTACTTTGCAGCGAAATTATTTTAATGTTTAAACCATTAGTGCAATTTTTGGGACAGTGTCTGTGCTAGGCAAGGAGGTTGTGACTCATGATTTCCCTTGAATGCTATTGAAAGAAATAGCTGTAGTCAGAAATCTCAGTTAGTAGCTGTTCTCTGAATCTAAATCTACCTGATGTTATGCACAGGCTAGATGTTCTAATATTATCCTTTCCTGGTTGGCTTTGGGATCAGAGCTGTATTTGTACATGCATGGCAGCTGCAGAATTCCCTTTGGAGTAATACCTCTATCACAGAGCACCTGCCCAGAGGAAGCTTCGGGGAAAGCTTGGAAGATGATTCTCCCTGTTTCTGTGGGATTTTTCTCTCCCTCATGAAACACTGACATGAAACTTAACCTCAAAGAAGAGTTCTGAGTACTTGTTCATCACTAGCTATTGGAAGGAAGTAGATGGAAGTATTGGGAGGCTTCTTGCATTATGACTAATTGTGGTTTCTCACCACACAAAGAATGAACAGTTGACAATTACTGCAAGTTTAATAATTGCAGGTAAAGGACTTTGAATATGCTGCCTTATTTATGGTACAAAAGCTACAAGGAGGAAGACATTAACATAAATCCTACCCAAGACTGAACTTAAAAAGAGGATATGCTGAAGACACTACCGTTGACAAATGATTGGCTAGTATAGGATAGCCTCCCTGGTGTGACTCACATTCCTAGTCCCTTTGCTGCCTGTTCTGTTAGGAAAGGACTCTTCTGTGGATCAGGTGGCCTAAGTATGTCACTTTCCTAGGCATTGGTATTTGGAAGTACTTAGAAATCACGCTAGGTAAGAGAGATGGCCTTGCTCTCTTCATACTCAGGATAGAAATGATGAAAATCGGAATATAAATTGACCCCAAGTCCAAAACTTGGCATAGTCACCATTCTAATTTCTGGCTTTACAAACTGTGGAAATGAAACTGGGGTTGGAGCCAGGAATAAAAGATGATGGGCTAATATGAGAGGAAATAATTTGCAAGTTCCAAGAGGTAAGTACTCCACAGGAGGGTGCTATAAAAATATGTGTACCTGTTCTATTCTGTGAGCCAGAGAAATTTAAGTTCTTTGGGAGTATTTGGGGTAGAGAGAAATTTAAAGTCAGGGATAAAACAGAGACTCAAACGTCTATATAGTTTATTGATTATAAAAATTAGATTAGGAGGCTTACCATTGGGCAATCTTTATGTAACTTTTAAAAGATAGAGAAAAAAGATAAATATGGTTTGGAAGGGCCAACCACCAGTTCCTGTATAACCATTTCCTGAAAAATTTCTGGGAAAGCTAAAGACCATCTTTAACTAGTGAGGATTACACCAAAATGGTCCACTTAAACAAAATGTCAGGCCTGAATGAGCCTAACCTGGTTATTGCCACTGATTTTTCATATCAGTGAAGATAAACACTAACAAGAATAAAATGGAAATGTTATAGGCTAGGAGCTAAACAATATTTTAGGATTGGCCTTTCTCATCATGCTAAATTTAAACTGCAAAATTTTATTGTTTTAAGGATTATCTGAGTCAACAATTTGAAATGAAGGATTTGTCTTTTAACAGGAAGTTTGCATCGCACAGTAAATTCAAAACACAGTGTTCTTGACTCTGTTATTTTTGAATGGCAGCCGTCAGTCAGCCAATCACTCTAAATGCAAGGAGCAAATGCAATTAACTTAAAGTCAGAAAATATAGGAATGTGCTCAACAAACAGGTTACTGATACAGAACTCTTCTCACACATATGTATGATGAAGGAGGTGTGCAAACATGTATCCTTGGTTACCATTCATTCTCTTGTCATTTGTAACATTTCTTGTTAGGGGTGGAAGCAAAGTGTTGATAGTTGACTTTGAAATAATTATTAACACTGGCTCTCTTGCTCATTGACTGTCATTTTCTTATGGTTTAAATATAATGCCAGCAGAGTTCATGGAGTGCTTACTAATAGGAGGGCTTTTACAAGCATCACACATGTAATTTTGACAATAACCTCAATTTGACAGTCTTACCTATATTCTTCCTTCCCATTATATAAAGGAGAAAACTGAAGAATGACAGGTTCAAGTGACTTTTTCCACAGTCACACCTTGGTAGATGAGATCAGAGTTTTTAATCTAGACAGTCTGTCTCCGGAAATCATGCTTCACTAAGTGCCCAGGCTTATTATAACCTGGTAGAGTTTATGCCACTCTGCACCTCCTTTGATTCTGCTTACTTTGCTCTGTCTGCAGTTTATTTCTTGACACCCAGACTACTCATGGCTTTCATGCTCATCAAAGTATTTCCCGTCAAGGTGCATCTTTATGCTTTAAATTTCTACTCTATTATTGGCCACATTGGGGATTCTGTCTGGATTCTAACCACTCGCCCTCCAGTCTATGAGATTACTCCAATCTATGTTTTACTTGCAGGTAAAAGTGAATATTTTCTTGTTTCTTCAATGAGACCGGGAGCCAAGGCCTACTGGTTTATTTTTGAAAGCTTCCAGTGCTTTGCAGAGCACAGTTGTGGAGCATAGTAATCACATGATCTAATCAACTAATTCAATCCCTAGAACAATAGGAAAACTCACTTCTGTAATGTTTAGAATCATTGCCCTTCTCAGAAAAATTAAAAAATTGTATTTCAAAAGCTAACTGTAAAGCCTTGAGTCTTAGTAATAGTGGAATAGGTAGAACTCACATAAATGCTATAAAATTATTCAAAATACCGTTTAGGTTGTGAACATTATATACAAAATTCTTGAGACCTAAAGTGTGTTTCACATATTTTGGGTGGGTTGATGTATTTTCTGGCATCAGTATTATATATTCGACAATGGGAGTCACATCAAAGCACAAAATTCATTTTTATGCACAATTTACGTAAGTAGTGTGAAGCTTAGTTTACGTGGCATTTTCTGTGTGACTATGTTTTTGCTT